TGTTTCCTATAATTATTTTTACACTGAACTCTTTAGCTCTTCGTAACACTTATGCACTTTTTACTAAGCCATAATTTTGCGATACCTGTAAGTAAAATGTCTTGCTATAATTAGCTTTTGTTGAGGAGTCTATCCAAATATCTCGACGTTGTCTATTACAGTTGGGCCCAATTTGAAAATAGATAAGTGTTGTTTTTACCGTTGAACTTTATAATTTTGTAAACTGCGTCGTATGTGTTTACTCGCAAGTATAACGCTTCTTTTTCAGTTTTATTGTCGTCTGCCATTACATTTTGCACGTGTTTCTTGCCGGTGCAACGTACCTACTGATGTATATCAGCGCAAGAAATAAGCCGCTAAATGAGGGAAAGAATGAAATGAATACACAGTATTTGATAAAGTATATTTTTTTAACGTTCTTCCACAGTTTTCACTTGTAATTAATTTAAATTTAATTTTATAACATTCGCATACACATTTCGTTTTTGTTATCCTCACGTCGTTCCTAGTATCTCTTTCTTTGTCCCTTTCGCTCTGTACCTCTCATTCTCTCCTCGTTTAGTTTCATTTTACGCATCTTTTTATTATTCAATTCCTACATATATATAAACATTCATACGTTTATTTTTTATTTATACATATGTATTATTTTTTCTTAGCAGGATTAATTAATATTAATCGATTCTTAGTACTGTACTGTCTTACAGCATTAAGGTTTTATGAATTTTATGAGAGGCTTTATTTTTGTAATGGAAACACTAAATTGTTATCATGTAATTCTTGGCACGTTATGCTAGAAAAATGAGATCGGGTCGCAACACAATGCTAGCGATGTAATTAGGCAATTTGCCCACACAGGCTAAATGAGCTTATATCGAAAATTGTTTTCTTTGTGGAAAAAGGCTTTGTGTGAGTAATGGTTACTACAGCTTAATAGATGTTACGCACTGCTTACAGGTTGTTCAGAAAATTGGAAAGAAGTGCTTTATAAAGTTAGGTAAGAAGTAATTAAGGATTAGGTAGTTAGGTAAGAAAGAAAATTATGATAAATTGATTTTTTTCACTGCTTCGAATGACAAATGAGTAGATTTTGTCCCGTGAAAAAGAATTCAGTTGTTTCATAATATTAATCACGCTATTCTTATTTTAAAATGAAAAATACATAAATGGAAAGAATAGATTTGTTTTTCAAAGATAAATTAAATTTGAAATATTTGAATTTAGAATGTGGAATCTTCTTAACTTGTCTAGAAATATTTGTATTTCAAATGTAGAATATATATCTTTTATATGTAAAATCGAAACTTTGCAGCACGAAACTTATTTAGATTTATTACCACACTGCATAGGTATTACACCTTAGTAAAGCCAGATACCATGGGCGTTAATGTGCATTTTGTATCTACGTTTAGTATTAATATCTATAGGTATTGTTACTTTTCATCAAGTGCATCAACCAACTTTTAAGCGACTTCAAATAAAAGGGTGATTTTTTAAATATGTCTATGTTTTTATATGTGTATATTCTTATGGAAATGATGTAGATTCTTTCGGAAATTATTTTTAGAAAATACTAACTATATCTCGCAGCTTCACCCGCGTGAATCAATACATATAGTATTCTATGTGCTAATATAGGGTTCAGAGATTTTGCCTCACTCTGCGTGTTCTACCGCCTGTACAGTGGATTGTACTCAGAGGAATTGTTCAATATGATACCCACAGCCACTTTCTACCATCGTACGGCTTGCCATCGACAGGGAGTTCATCCTCATGTCCTACAGCCTCAATGGTCGCGTACTGCGCGGTTTCAGAGATGCCATGAATACTCAGGTTGTGGAATGAGCTCCCTGGCGAGGTTTTCCCAAGAGACTACAGCATGGGGTTTTTCAAAGGGGGGGTAAAGAGGTTTCTTCAGGGTCGGCAATGCACGCGTAATACCTCTGGTAGTGCAGGTGTTCATAGGCTATGGTAACCACTTACCATCAGGTGGGTCGTATGCTATATACATACAGCCTATAGACATGAGCAATACCATGGACATAACAGAGTATACTGTTTCGACCAAGATACCCCCCATGCGTTGCCATTCATGAAGACTCAGATGTTATTCCTCTGTACCCTGTAAATTCACGCTATATCCCACCGTTCAAACCGAAACACAGCCATGCAAACACAACTGCTTCACGGTAGAAACACGAATGGGACAGAGGTACCCATGCAATCGACTTTTGTTCACTTACTGTAAATCAATATGTAATGATATACATCTGGTAATTGCATCTGTACATTTTTGTTTAATATTTATTATTATTAAAAAAAAAAAAACTATATTTTTTTTATTCTCTTTCTCATAAATTACTTCGCATAAGTACGTACAGGTTTTCGAGTCAAACTCAATCCGACGTACATGAAAATTGTAATACATTACACTAACTAACCTACTAAATGGAAGGTAAGCTGTGTAAACCAACAGACGGTTTAACTTTCTATTGTTTATCTTCCAAAGTTACCCTTGAGTTTTGAATATGTAGCTAATAAGTTGAGGGGTATTCTATAATGTCCGTAATATAGCGGGAGGGGAGTTTCATGTAAATCAAGTATGGTATAGTTAATGAAAATGTAAACAAATGAATAATCTAACCCGGCTATAAAAAATTCTTGGGCGTATGGTCCCAGTATGAAATATGCTACCTCGTTTTCCGTAGATGTCGTAAGAGGCGACTAAGGAAGTGTGAGGGATGGGCACCAGCGTCCCTCTTAAAAATCTCTAAAACCTAACTGCGGTTGTCAATCCGTCTGCCAAACGTGGCAACTACTAGCAAAACCTCCCAAGGGAAGGCATATTGTTTAACAGTGGACAGTTAAAGGCTGATATGATGATAATTATGATAAGAAAGTTTGCTGATGTCACTATTGACATTAGTAGACTATCTTATGAAAATCAAAACTCCATTAATTGATAGTATGTACTAATTTGTTACTAATTTCATTTAAAGAATTAAACTTGTGATAAACTCGAATAAAACTTGGTTACCTTCATTAACTTTTCATTAAAGTAGAGAATAGGTATTTCTTGTAAATGTTTTAACGATGTTTGTTGTAATGTAGATTATTAGTATGCGGGAAGGATATTTAGATTCAAAGTCGAGTTAGTCTGGGATCCAGATCTTTAGCAGGCCCTGCTAGATTTTGTTGATTAAATTAGTTTGTTTTTACTTAACGAAAAAACACATCTTTACTGGTATTAAAAATATGAAAGTAACTGTCTTGTTTGTTACGTTATGGTTACAATTAAAAAGTAACTTTCATATAACAAAGCACTATGAAATTACTGTAATGTACTGTATAGCAGAAAGACGTAAGCTACTTTTTTATCCCGCCAATGAATTAGCCCACGAAGTCGCAAATAACAGCTAATAGATATGTAAGTTTGGTGGGCAATTATGACAAGATATGCGTACATCTTCATGTAATCCAGATAATTCTGGGGGAAAGGGATTGTTAGTAATGGAGATTGAGAATCCCATTGCTAGCAATATAGCGACCCAACCAGGTCGACCTTCTCGCGGCTCTCCCTGGAAACTATCATGATTAATTCCTGATGAATTCATCATGATGGGCTAACTGGCCTGTTTTCATCCTCATCGATCACCCTTCACTGGTACCCCGCCAGCGAAGGGTGATCGATGCACTAACGGGATACCCGTTAGTGCAGGCGAGATTAGTATTCCATTTTCTACCAATAAAAAAAAATCCAGATAATTCTATGCGGTAGTATTAGTTACACAGAGTAAATAAACATAAGAGTTAGCACTGTCCCTATCATAACTGGTAACTGAATCCATGTAACCATTTAAAAGTAACATCACAATAAAATAAATGAATATTAATAGTGTTGTACAACTGTTTACAATGTACCTTTGATAAAAACGTCGATATCGATTTAAAAGTAATAAAAAGTAGCTTCCTTTATCGTTAACATGGAAATAGCAAAAAGAATGAGGAAAACGTCTCAACGTTAGTGATGTAATCGTATAACCGAAATTGCTAACTTTCTTTTCGAAGACAAATGTCGAATTAATTTCAAAATAATATTCAATCAATCATCCAATTCTAGAATGTGTATTAACATGACAAAGGATTCGTAGATATGCCTATTTATATTCATAAACGTGAGTACAAAGTTATTCGTGTTTGTCAACATCGTGTTTGTAAAACAAAAGAATAAATAATGCAAAGTAGTATTGATTGGTTAAAAGAAATCACGTAGATATTATTTTTGTATCATAAATTGGAAATACAAAGAAATACATCATTTATTATTGTTCGAATTTGTTTCTCTGTAGCCTTAGAAAAATATAATATGACAGTTATATTATATTAAGTATAATACAATATAACTACTAATGCAACAAATTATTTACCGAGGTTTTCTCACAATTTTTTTTATTAAGTTAAGATATAAATAAGATATAGCGTAATTAAGTAACAAACGTCTAAAAATGCAAACATTTTTACAAACTTTGACATTTATAATATTACTAGAATTATATTAATACACAAATTAAAAAAAGAAAATACTAAAAGTATTTCCTTTTCAAAATAGGTATGAAATTTAAATTTCAAAAAGGTATATAGCATTTGGTTATACTAATAATTGTAAAGAAGAAAAATTTGGTTGTTTGTCTGTAAAAGATAAACTCAAAAACTACTCAAGCGACTTTAAAAGTTTTTCACCTATAGAAAGCTATATAATTAGAGAGTAACATAGACTGTGTATATTATTTTCGAACTTTCTATCTATCTATGCGAAGCCGAGCCGCATTGTTACTACATTATATAGCACTGTAACAAATTAACAGACGAACGGACAACGCCGTATTATAAGTTTTCCTTTGTACCATTTTGTTACGGAACCCTTATAATAACTGTGTGTTATTCATTAAATAAGTTTTCGAATTAATTGTATAATTAACTTTGCTTTTTTATTATTACAGAGTAAAACACTAGATTTGGCGCTAGTGTCGATATACAGAGGAGGTGTGGAATTAGCGTCAATAAGTCAATATTCCGGTTCACCGTACAACACTACCGACAGGTGAGTCACGCTCCTTGCAACACAATTGTTTTATACTAACACCATCTAGCGGACGGAAGTTTAATGTTTTGTTATTTTCTCATCTGAGTTAAAGTAACCATCCTCTATAGACATGAATACGAGTAGATAGATAGATAGATACTATTTATTGTTTCCTCCAAAAGATTACAATAGTAAACTTATTATAAATATAAATAATTAAGTAGCATCACGAACATTACAAAATATACGATGACACCTATAGGGGCCTTGCTATTCATGCATTGAAAATGCAAATGCATTGCTATTCTCGAGGTATATGTGTTATATATGTATGATTGAATCCTGTAATTTTAGTCAAGCAAAGTTTCAGGTTACACTTAGTAACTTCGCAATAAAACATACAAAAATTTATTTCATTAGAATTATTTTGTTTAATTCCGTTACCATTAGTATGTATGTGACTGTCAATACTCGAAGATTGACCGCCACTACCACTATCAGGAGTTCCACAATCTTCCACGTTAGTCATCAATTCCCGATTGCTATTTTGTTCATGTACGTTTTGCGTCACGTGTTTTACCTTTAAACGAGGCAGCTTAAAGAAAATTATTAGATCGCTGCTCGAAGCCCAGTGTTAACCGTTCGGCATCTTCGCGTGTTAGTATTCACGCGCGTACTAATGGTATCGGAATTAAACAAGATAATTCTAATCAAATGACTAGTGTTTATTTATTTATTTACATTTTATTGCACCAAGTAAAAAGAGAAATAATACAAATACAGTAAATATTTGTGAGAAGTGATATGGTATAGTAATATGGACTTCCACAAAATAACACCTGATTTCGTAAAATATAATACTTTTTTAATGATTAAAATAATATTTTTAAAATATATAATTTTCCCGTGATACTTAATACCTATTTATTACTCGTACAGTGAAAAGTAAATTTAAAAAGCCCAATTATAAATTGTTTGAATTTTTTTTTATTATAATATTTTTAAACAACGTTACTGTAGCCTATGGATGCCTGTAACACCAGATATATCGTACGTGCGTTGCCAACCCTTAAGAAACCTTATTACGCCCATTTTAAAGAACCCAATGCTGTAGTCTCTAGGGAAAAATCTCGACAGGAAGATTTCACAATCTGAGTATTTATATATATATATATGAATATACTATTTAAGGAAAAAAATATTGAAAAGTAAATAATAAAATGTAGGCTTAACGTAACGTAGGTAACATCTTAAGTACAAATGTCACATCCTAAGTTTCTCGTATTTATACGAATTTTAACATATTAAGGTAGACGTTATCATAACTAGACATCTCGCATTTCTTGAAGTGTATAAACTCACAGGAATGACTTGTCATCCCTTTGGTGCTCGTGAAACTCGTCACGAGACATGACGGGCACTTTAGCACCATCGAAAACTTGAACGCGTTTAATATACGAATTTTTTCTGTGTCACTGTGACTCACTTATAGAGTCAAATTGGGAATTTGTAATAGCTCCGTCGTCACATTCATCTATACATATAATAAAACTGTAGAGGTCGAATGTCTGTACATAGAAAAAAAGACCCTAAAAACCTAGTCAGGAGTATGTTCGAAGTGAAATAGAACTAATGCAAATTTTTTCAAATTTTAATCTCCGAAACTGTTGGACCGATTTAATGAATTTTTGCATAGTGTTGCCTTACATATTATACATACATATATAGTGACACATCCCCGGTCAACATTTTAATTACTTTTAATCACGGAAAATTTAGGTATTAAAATACTGTAGTAAATTATGCAGCTTAATACAAAATCTACTCAAATAAAGTCATTTTGACCTAAGGCAAAGAGTGAGAACGACACGTCATTTATTAATCTTTGCCCAGTAATTCCCAGACATTATAAATAGGTAGGTACATACATCGATACATACTAAACAGGAGTAACAAATAGTACGCGGACAAAGACACGGGCTTCAGCTAGTCTTATAATAATTCAGAAGTGACTAACAAGTCATAGCAGCTAGTCAATTTAACGAGTTTTCAAGTTATAAAATTTTTCTATGTCACAGTGTATGTATTACAGAGGTCGAATTGAGATATCGTCATAGTCATGTCGTCACAGTCTGTCTTATCTAAATTAATACTATATTATAAAGTAATTTCTTTAACATGAAATGCTCTTCATCATTCAAAGAGGAAAGTTTTGTTGTTTTTTTTCTTTTGAACTTAAATCTCACCAATTTACTGATTTAAAAAAAGTTTCACCTACAAAAAGCTTAAAAAGGTTGCAGTTTTTTTAACTAATAATACTTAATACTATGTATTTACTTATATATGTATTGTATATGTATATATATTATTACATACATATCTGTCACGCCTCCTGTGTCCCAACAGGGTAGGCAGAAACTATATAACACTAAATGCTTCGATTCAAACAAGCCTCTTTCGCTTCATCCATATTCATCAATTTCTCATATTATTATTTATTATGTTTTTGTGCATATACATATATTTATTTACAATTTATGTATGTTTATTTTATTCTATTTATATATTCTATTTATATTGTATTTACGCTAAGTTCTTTTTCTTATATCTGTCGTGCACTAGATTACCAACTAAGTATTTTTCTTTCATTGCACTGGGTTGGCTGGTAGAGATCGCTTTTAGAAATAAGCCCTTGCTAATGAGTTTGTTAAACTAATCGCTGCAACTTTTTTTTTTACGAGTACAATTAAGAGTATATGTAATATATAAAAAGCTACAATATCAGGTAGTAAAATATAGTATATTTTATTAATCGTATATCGTACCAGAGGGAGACTTTATACAAAATTCCATTGCTTGGGTACCTCTGTCCCATTCGTGTTTCAACCGTGAAGCAGTTGTGTTTGCATGGCTGTGTTTCGGTTTGAAGGGTGGGATATGGAGTGAATTTAAAGGGTACAGAGGAATAACACCTGAGTCCTCAGGAATGGTAACGCATGGGAGGTATCATGGGTGAAACAGTATACTCTGTTATGTCCATGGTACTGCTCATGTCTATAGGCGACGGTTACCAATTTCCATCAGGTGGGCCGTTAGCTTGTTTGCTATTCTAAGTTGTATGCTTATTGATGCAGTAGGCTCAGGATCGTTCTTTATTGCAGTCTATAGCGGAAGTCTATGTCTAGCAGTGGACGGAAAATGGCTGAGATAATAATTATGATGATATATATATATATATATATATATATATATATATATATATATATATATATATATATTCCCAAAGTATATAAGTAAAATATATATATATATATATATATATATATATATATATATATATATTCCCAAAGAGGGTTGACGTCAGACAGGTAGCCGGTCGTAAAACTAAAAACCAAATCTTTTTGTAATATGGATAAAAATCATATTACTCCGACCCCAAATGATTGAGATAAGGGTAGGAAGATGATGATGATGAATAATTATGATGATTAATATTTATATACTACATAAATTATAGTCATAATATACAACAAAAAAAATCCTTTTTAGAATATTAATTTAGATAAAAAAAAAAACAAATTTTAGTCCAATTTGGAGAAAAGTTTACATACCCTATTGTAATAGGACTACCTCTCGGGTTGACCCATCCTTCAGTTTGAAATATGACCGTTCGAATAATTTAGGATTTTGTTTCATAGAGTTGTGACTTTAATCGATAAGTTTATTTATTTATTTATACTTTATTGTGCATGCTAGTAAAATACACAGAAAGATGGCAGTGGAAAGTAAATATACAAAGCCGAGCTTAATTCTACAAGAATTCTATTCCAACAAACCTAAAGTGACAAAGAGCATCAATATCAGCTACAATAATCATTAATGTAAATTTTTGATGATTCTAAATTGAAATAGAATCAAATTCTCTCTATTGTTAAAAGAAATATCAATTGGTGAAGACATCGTATTACACCAAAAAAAACTTTGTATAAAAGTCGTCCGTTGAAATATACTTTGCATGAGGTGTCTGTACATAGAAGATATTTAAAAAAATATAAAATGTCCCAACAAGATCATCAGAAGATAAAATAATGATTTTTTTTTTATAATTTTCTTTATCTGTATATTTGTTTCGCAATTACGCAAAGACTACTGCGCTAAATTTGGTATAGTTTCCACAACTATATTTCTGAGGATCTAACTTAAAATCTGATGAATGTTCCTTGATATCATCTACATTTGTTTGAGAGCAAAAATCAGTGAAAAATGCAAGTAGAATAGCTATTAATTATAATTATATGTTATGGAACAAAAAAACAATATTATGCTAGGCCTCTATCGTGTCCTGCGATAAAACGGTTAACAAAACAAACTAACTAAAACCCATAGTGGAGGTATTGAAAGTGCTGAAGTTTGTCCGAGAAGTGTTGGAAACACGCACAACTTTTATGACTAGACCCCAAGTTAGAAACGATAGCAACAATGTGCGAGATTGCTTTTATTGTCTATATTGTCAAATATAACAAACTGTGCTAATAATATCACATTGTTATCTTTTAGTTTATTATAGGTTTTTTAAGTTAATTTTATAAAGTTAGTATATTTGTTTGCAAACAATTTATCAAAGCATTTCTTTTCTCATGTTTTGCCTCATAACTTCCTCAGTTATAAATCGGATAAGGAAAAATATTTCTTTATCTGAAAGAATATTCTTATAGATTGCTTCCATAGAAATTTCATCAAAGTCAGTCAAGTAATTTAGTTTTTAAATTAAAATAACAACTTTCACCACAATCGATTTCAGCTTTCTTCATTCTTGTGGTACGCAATCAATCATATTATCAAGTACAATTACGATCAGTCAAGGTAGACGCTTGCAGTCCCTGCCTTGCGCTCCACCGCATTACTTTGTGGAGGCAAGCTAAAGATTAGTACGGAACTCAATTAAAAGCACCAAGTTTGGAAGATCGCGATCCGTGTAATTAAATTTTCCCAGCAAAAGTACTGCGTGATAGGAATGT